GCTGGTTGGGTAACTGGGTGGCTGGCCCCTGGGTGGCATCCTTCTCTCCTTCCCCTTCTTGCTCCTCCTTTCTCTTTTGCTCTTCTCTCTCCTTCTATTTATTCTCTCTGTCTGGCAGACCCTCCTATTCCTCTTCTGCCTAGCTATTGGCCATTCAGCTCTTTAGTATACCAATCAAGTGTTTTAGGAGAGCAAAGTAACACAGATTCACAGAGTTAAACAAATGCAACATAAAAGAATGCAACACATCATTGTATCATTAAACAAATATTCCACACCATAAACAAATGTAACAAATCTCCAACTAATATTCCACAACAGTAATACATCAGAATAACCTGGGGTACTGTATTATACATACATATAAAATAAGTGGATTACACATATAAAAATATGTGTCCTCAGTATCTCTGATTTGTTTTCAGGATGAGATTAAGGCATTCAACTTTTGAAAGGCATTTTGACTAGATGTGTTAGTGTCACAAGCCATAACTGTGGGGCTTGGAAGGCAGAGGCACAGAGATGTGGAATTTGAGCCCAGACTGTGTTATATAGAGAGACATCCATCTCAGAAACAAAAAAGGAAATAAATACATAATAAATACATAATAAAAATCTTTCCAGTTGAACTTTTTTCAGCTATGGTTAAGAATCTAATCCAAAATGTATCTCCATCTAGTTTATTAGGTCAGAGAAAATTATTTCCGAGGAATGTATTTCTAAGACGATTTCCAGCTGTGAGAAAGACTTTTTTTTTAACATTGAAAAAAAGATGGTTTTAATCATTTTAAAGACATACAAGTACACAACATTTTAAGAATATATCCAGGGTTGGGTATTGGTGAAATTATTAAGGCCATTCCACGTAGTTAAAAGGGAGATTTATTGAGTGGCGTAACTTACAAATGAAGGGATAAATTATAGGGTCTGGGAAAGACGCAGCGCAGTCCGATGGTGTTCTCTGGAGAACTCTGCTAGGTCTACCTCCAGCATCCAGGGTCTAGGAAACAAGAGAGGGCAGTGCATCCTGATCTCGGGTCTTCAGGGCCCTCTCTTGGCCCCGCCTTGTAGGCATGATAGTTACCAAAGCCTCAATGGGGGTTGGAACTTCCAGACCAAAGCTGGAATGGTTAACCACTCCAGTTGGGGATTTAGCTCAGTGGTAGAGTGCTTGCCTAGCAAGCGCAAGGCCCTGGGTTCGATGCTCAGCTCAAAAAAAAAAAAGAGAATATATCCAGACTTGGTAGTTGTTATGTAGATGTGAAATCATGTTAATGAATTTGACAATTGGAAAATGCTCACTAACTTTTACATATGTTTAAATAGCATGTTCCATATCATAAAACTCAACAATCAAATGCCTGCATATCACTACACAAGTCATAAGACTTTTGTGGTCACATTAGTTGACATTCTCTAGAAGAGCACAAGGGTCTGGAGATAAATTTGGTTCATAGTCCTACTCTGAAAATTCCTAGTTTGAAAAATTCAAGCTATTTCATCATCTTGCTGACTTGATTTTCTCATGCAGAAAACTTCTTTGGTGTCACCCATCTTATAATGTGATTTAGAAATAATAAATTAAAAGCCTATGAAGTAGCAAGAATTCATTGCTAGCTCCTTTTCTAACATTAATCATTTGCTTACTTGATAAGTAATTAGTGAGGATCTACAGTACATGCATGCTCTGTTCCCTCAAATAAGTTAACCTTGACCCTCTCAAAGATAGTACACAAAGCCAGTATGGTGAAGCATGGTTGTGATCCCAGAACTTGAGATAACTGAATATGAGAGCCATCCTGAACTAAATATCAAGCTTTGGGCTAGCAGGGGCTAGGAGATGCTGTTCTAAAAAGAAGTCAATAAAAAAAATCAGAGGTATTTATTATTTTTACTTTTCATATTCTATTAAATCTCCAATTAATTTCAATTTATTCTCTGCATTGTGTCATCAGAACAAATCACTAAAGATATCATTGACATAAATGTTATCAAACCAAACCAATCAAAATATCCTTATCAGCTGGGCAGCAATGGTACACACCTTTAATCCTAGCACTTGGGAGGTAGAGCCAGGTGGATCTCTGTGAGTTTGAGGCCAGCCTGGTCTACAGAGCAAGATCCAGAACAGGCACTAAAACTACACAGAGAAACTCTATCTCAAAAAATCAACAACAACAAAAAAGATCCTCATCTTTCTCAGCCACAGCTGATTTCTCAAACCAGCTTCTCTTCTTCATCTTAGCATTTTAAATTTTTTTAATTGTTTAAATTTTCAGGATTTTACCTTGATTTTCCTACCCAGTTAACTTTTCCTTTTGCTTGCCCTAATCTACATATATTCATCCCATCCTCAAATGTGTGTAAACAGCATCCTGTGTCACACCAGCATCTTTGGGTGTTATAAAAGAGTCTCAGTCTCCACAGGTGCAAAACTGTGCTCATCCTCCTTACTTAGCTGGTGTGCCATTTTCTCAGGCCCCAAACTAGGGAACTCCCTATTGGCCTATCACTCTCTGTCATCTTATGCTCCAATAATTTTTTAGTCACTTCAGTTTATTTCCTAAATGTTTTTCCAACACATGACTTCCCTTCCCTCTCTACTGTCCTTCTCCTTCCCTCCTTCTTTACCACATTCAGCAAAGACCAGGGAGACATCTACTGTCTGAGGTTCCCATATGAAAATACTTGCTGGCATTTTAAGATAAACAATAAAAAAGTGATAGACCAAAATATTAGTTACTTTACATGCTCAATAAAAGCAACTTGGGAACGGGAAAGGTGTGCAGTGAGAGCTTGAGGTCATGCAGGAAGCTTCGTAGAAAAACAGAGAGAAGAAAAACTGGTAGTCATCTCACTTTCTCATTTTTATTTAATCCAGGGATCCAACACACAGACCCATGCTGCCCACAGTTAAAATAGATGATCTCACCTCAATTAACCTAATCTGGATAACTCCTCACAGGAATGCCCAGAGGCTTGTCTTCTAGGGGATTCTAGATCCTGTCAAGTTGGCAGCCAATATTAACATTTGCTTCCCATAAGGAAACCATTTTCTTTTTTTGGTGGACAATTTTCTTACTGTCAGATTCTTCAGCCTTACCACACATCATTCTTTTCTCACTCCCTTCTTTCAGTTCTTCTAATTAGATGATCCCTGTCTACCTCTAGGTCTTAAATAATGAATTGCTTAAAATTATATACTCTGTTCACTCACTTCTTCTGCCTGCTTATACTGTAATTGTCTTTCAGATGTCAGTTCTGATATAACCTCTTCTGATAAGACCAGGTTCTTTCCCCCATTTTATGATCCAATGTACTCCATGCATTTTCTTCTTTTTCTGTAGCATGAATCTTAGAAGGTCTTATTAATAAAAACAAACCTGAAGCTGGGTATTGGGGTGAATGCTAGAAGATCAGAGAAGCAGAACAAGCCACAGCTTCCTCACCTTGCCAATTCCTCAACTGATCCGGTTTCCTCAGACTGGAAGCCTCTGTGTCCTCATCCAAATGGATTTCAGCTGAATGGCTGCTAAAAGCCTAAAAGCTTAACCAGATCTAGTCCCTGGTCCTCAAGCCTTATATACCTTTCTGATTTCTGCTATCACTTCCTGGGATTAAAGGCTCACTTCCTGGGATTAAAGGCGTGAGTCACCATGCCTGGCTGTTTCCAGTGTGGCCTTGAACTCACAGAGATCCAGACAGATTTCTGCCTCTGGAATGCTAGGATTAAAGGCATGTGTTACCACTGCCTAATCTCTATGTTGAATATTGTGGCTGTTCTGTTCTCTGACCCCAGAAATGTTTATTAGAGTACACAATATTTTGGGGAACACAATACCACCACATTTTTCTTCACTACATTTTGCCAATGTACACTTATCCATTTCATTGTTTTAGTAATTTTTTCCTTTGTAAATTTTGTTAAGGATCTGTCTAATAAATTGATAACACAAAAAATGACTCATAAAAGGAAGTAAGTAGAGTTTATGCTAGAAATGAATGGACATATGGGAGAATAAGCTCTAGAAATATATAGAGACATATTTTATAATATATTAATAATATGAATGATATATTAACATTATTAATATATTGTATATATTCCTAGGGATTCTTGTATTTAGCATGCTGTAAACTGCCAAATGATCTAGACAAAATCAATCATTTGATTAGCTAACAAGACATGCAGAGAATGAGAGAGAGAGAGATACAAACAGAGATAATTCTATACTTTGAACCTTACCTGTACAAGAACTTTTTCTATTTGCAGTAAGTTACCACTGGTATTTGTCCAGTCTGGGAAGTAAGATTGATCCTTCAGATAACTTTGTGCTCAATGAAACTAGGAGGAGATGTTTTATTTTGATCATATTGATGTATTTTGCTTTTGAGTCAGGGTCTCACATGTTGAGGCTGGCTTTAAAATCACCATATAGCCAAGGTTGGACGTGCCTTCCCATTGTCCCACCTCTATCATCTTCCATCATCCCACCTCTATCATTTTCCATCATCCTACCTCTATCATCTTCCATCATCATACTTCTATCATCTTCCATCATCCCACCTCTATCATCTTCCATCACCCTACCTCCATCATATTCCATTGTCCTAACTCCATCATCTTCCATCATCCTACCTCTATCATCTTCCATCATCATACTTCTATCATCTTCCATCATCCCACCTCTATCATCTTCCATCATCCTACCTCCATCATATTCCATTGTCCTAACTCCATCATCTTCCATCATCTTACCTCTATCATCTTCCATCGTCCTACCTCCATCATCTTCCATTGTCCTATCTCTATCATCTTCCATCATCCTACCTCTATCATCTTCCAAATGGTGGAAATTACAGGTGTGCACTACCACAGGCAGCTTTATTTTTCAAACATTTATTTGCAAGATTGCAGTCACATGCATGTAATGATTTCTCCAGCAGTCAGCTGGGCATTTTCAAACCAGTATATCCACCCACTGTAGAAGTGTTTTCCATAGTACATTCCCCAAGAGAGTTGTAGAAGAAGAGTAATGCTTCATTCTTTATCAATTGTGGAAGCACAGCATTTTTTTTATTTTTAGAACAAAACAGTTGTATTTTTATTGGACTACCTTATACAGAAGAGAGTGTGGCATGGATGGATAGTAAAAATGACAAAGGGACAAATATATTTCATTTGAAATAAACAAAACTGCTTATATAGTTTTCATTTGCATGCAAACTCCAGATTGACTGGATTAATGAGCAAAAAAAATTTGAAGAACCCACCCCTCTGTTTCAGCTTTTATTGGGGGACAGGAAGGAAAAAAAACTACTGGAGTTATTTTTTTAAACTGAAATTCCCCTAAGGTCTGGCCATATAAGTTTAAACAATGTAAATAAATCCACCATTGCCAGTTGTCATTGATCATATTGGCAATTTTTTAATGTTGTAAACTATATATTTCTTTGTGTTGTTAACAGCCAATATTTTCTTCCACCCCTGATAGTTTGTATTACTCTGTCTATTTCCTAAAACTGGTTTCTAGTTTTGGAATTCTCTTTTTAGAAAAAAAAAGTGATGGAGGGAAAAAAATTAGGTGAACAAGTCGAGATATTCATTCCACACCAAAGGTAGATCAAGGACAGAGAAAAGTCAAGGAACTCTGAATCTATTAGCCCTGAGGACTTAGAAAGTAGATAACCAGGGACAGGAAGTTGACAAGGAGGAATATTAGTTCATAATCCTAGTTTTGATGATTGCAAGTTCTTACTGGAAAGTTTGGCTCTAAATCCATAGGCAATTTATATACAAATGGTATGCCTTAACCAAGAGCATATTCTCATCAATCATATAGCTTCACTAATAAAATGATTATGCCTGAGGAGGAAATCAACTGAGCAACATTACGGTCACTGTACTTAAGAAGCCGCTGATACATTTCAAAGAAATACTCCACAAGTCTAAAAACAGTAGAAGGTAGCAGTTAGAATCTGATATAAGCAACATTTTATTTGTGTATTTTCTAGTGCCTTGTCAGTTGCATATGTATTATAAATATGAATTATAATTTAGTGCATTGGTATTAAATAAATAAATTACACATATTAATGAGTCACATTGTTAAAATTTATACATTAAAAATGACACTGTTACAAATGGAAAAAATAAGAGTGGAATTTTTGCCAATCTTCTTCTGAAGTTTTCACTGATATTTATTTTAGTCTTAGCTTCAAACTTTGCTTCAAGGTCTACCTAGAATTAAACACTTTTCCAGGATCAACAAATTCAACCACAGTGAAATGTCCAGAGATTTTGGACAGGTATTCAAAACATAAGTATTAATACAAATATTGACTTTATATTTTGTTGAACATCTAGATTTATTATCTCTCAGGGCAAATATTGACTGTATCTTCCAGGTCGATAAATCTCTATGTTCACTGGAACAAAGTCAATACCTGTATCATATCCATTTTCCCAGATGATAACTGCTTCTATTTATGTTATACTGTTTAGTGTTTCAAAACTTATGTTTATTATATGGGAAAAACATTAATAAAAATGTTAATTGGTAAATAAAAGCTCAAATTTTGTTGAAAGTGCATATAAATAATCCTAAAATTAATGAAAGATGCCTGAGCACTCATAGCAAGAAGTTATACTCATAATTATTTTTTCATAGGAAAATAAAATCTGTTAGTGATTAGTAAATGGGGAGGGGAATGAAATATTAATTCTCTAGTCTTGTTTTTCACAAATTGGTTATTAATTTTGTTTGGCCCCAAACAACAAATCTCTGGGAATTTTTTTCCCAGCTGTATATCTTAGAAATAAATTTTTGTTAAGCATGGAGAGTCACTCCATATATCCAAAATAATGGATACTGTTTTGGTGACTTTGTATAATTTTACTTTGAGTCTTTTGAGATTTGATACTTTAAAATAAGAAAGTTTGTATTATATATTCTGGGAGGAAATCAGAGATCCTAATTTTTTATAGACGGAAATTATCGAAATGAACAGAGATCCTAGTGGTTATGTTCTTTTTAGAGAAAGGAAATTTGAATGGCCCCTGTGACCAACAGTACTTTCTTGCACAGGAGACTGCTGGCATTTTCAGGGAATGCCTATTGTGAAAGCTGGAACTGTTCCCTGATATCTCATGTCTAACACTGTGGACACAGGTTGGACCTTCACATCCAATGTGCTTGGTGTGGGCAGTGACTCACCAGGTATCACAAGCAAAAGTCACTCTAGTTGTTTGATTGGTTTTGTTTGCTTACTGCTTCAGGCAGCTTTTACTTTGTACTCCATGCTAGCTTGGAATTAATTGCCAGGAAGCCCAGATTGGCCTGGAACCCACCATGCCTCTGTCTCAAGTCATGTTGTGGTAGAACCAAAAGGTGTAATAGCAGAGTGTCACTACAAAAAAAAAAAAAAAAAAAAGATAGCTTGACTAAAGGATCACCCAAAATCACAACATACTTATTCTGCTGAGATAAACCAACGTTACATCAAGCAATTGATACGGTGACAGGATAATACTTACTTCTGCAGTGTAACTTGAGCTGTCTACACAGCCACAAGATCTAGTGAAATGATCAAAAAACTTCACTCCAGGCTTCTTACTAGATCACTTCACACTCAGAGTGCACCAAACCATTGAGAAACATTTGATGTCATCGACTCAAAGTAAGATAGAGGACTGGAGAAACAAGTGTATGGCCTCATCTCCTCCCTTTTAATTTACTTTACTATGCTACTAAATTCTTCCTCACTCATCTTTAAAAATTGCTCTTCAAGTTGCCCTTCACTTGACTTGGCCAAAAGCCAAAAGCTTCCAACTGTGATACTCATTAAAATCTCAAACATGAGTATATCTATTGCTATCTAATTAAACTAGCTGCTTTTTAAATGTATATTCAGCAATTATGCATCACTTCTCTGCATATTCTACTGACTAAAATCACTTGTTACTTTATCTAGAACATAGTGGACTATAATTTCTTTAGCCGATTTTACAAGAATTATGGTTTGAGAGAAACTCAGTCTTGAAGGGATTACCCTGTGTCATCATTTGCAGCTCTCCATTGCAATATATAATCCTATCATTGAATGACAGTACGCAGGGATCCCAATCTTCAGCTCATAAGTTAGAGGCAACCAAATTGGAAATGGCAGCGCATTCACCTTTCTGGGTGATAGCACTAATACAGCTGCTTCTCTTCATTTGTGCTCTAGAGACTGACTCCAGGATAGTAGGATGAAAACCCAGAAGGGAGTTAGCACAAAGCAAAGAAATGAAGATTCCTAATGCAATGGCTTTCCTTCCCTTGCAACATATCATCTGTTTTTTCTCTCCTTGCAAGAAGACTTCTATATTTTAAGATGCTAAATCGGAAGGGAAAACTTCAGATTTTACTATCTGCTTGTCCTTGCCATTTTAACTTTAAAACCTGTAATGTGGGAGCCTTTCGACCTTTAATAATTTTCGTTACTTTTCCACATTCGTAATTGTTCTCTGAGTTTCTTAGGTTTTAAAAAAAAAATTCTCATTAAAAAAAATAGTACTGAACTAATGAACTCATTCCTCAGAATGTATAATTTTCCCTCAAGCAAAATAAATTGAACTGAAACTTTTAACAAAATAAGTTGCTGAATTTCTCAAGAAGTCAATGCTTCTTTGCACATGCATGTGTGTGTGCCTGCCTATATATGCACTCGTAAACAAAATCACCTAAATACCCAAAACAAGTTGGGAACTAGTGGTCTATATTTAGGCAAATGAGATAAGATTTACTGTTATTATTCCTTGTATCATTTTCATTCCTGTGACTATACTACAAATGTGGATTCTGTCTACACACAATTACCCATTGGTAAAGGAAGTGAATCATTTCAAAAGAAGCAAATATGTCCCAGAAGGTGAAACCTTCAGCTTCACCAAGGGGAGAGTTGGATGTTCACAGAACTCTCAAGTCTTTCAAAGTACACAAGGAGTGAGGCTAGGTACTAGCTCTCTTCCCTTTTGTTGCTTCACTTTTCTCTTCTGGTGTTTTCAACACAGATGGTACATTGTCCAAGTGCATGAGAACTTTTCCTTACCCTAACTCTGCATTTCTCCGTTCAATGTTCACTTCCAGAGACTTTAATCCTTTCACATTTTGGCCCTAGGCTTTATATTTGCTGTGTCCTTAGAAGAGAAAATTTAGTTTAGTAAAAGACATATCAAGTCAACCACTGTTCCTGATCTTTTATGAACTCACACATTGTGAGAACATATACAAGTTGTAGTCTTTCAATTCCTAACTGAGCATCCAAGATGTGCTATCATAAACCATTTCCCATTTCCCAGTTCTTCCCAAACTAAGACCATACCTTCCTGTGCACAAACTTGTAAAGCCAAGCCTAGTTCCTGGATTCATCTGGAAGAATGATCTGCTGTGTGGACTGGGCCCACAGTCTCTGGGAGATATTCTCCCAAAAGCTTTCTAAATATCCTCTTTGTGATTACATCTGATATTATCTGCCATGCCTTCTCCCAAGGCCTGACACAAGCTAGAGTCATCTGGGAAGGTGAAACATCAACTGAAAACATGCCTCCATCACATTGACCTGTAGGCAAATCTATGGGTTATTTTCTTAAAGTGTGTTTGATCTGGAAGGGTCCACCCACTTGCTGATAGAGACATTTAAGTTTTAGGCAGCTGAGGAGATAGCTCATCCATAAAGTGCTAACCATGAAAGCATGAGGACCCAAGGTTGGATCCCCAACATTCATACAAAATGTCAGGTATTGCGGCATATACATTATAACCCCAGATCTAAGAAGATGGGGACAGAGGGATTCCTGGGGCTTGCTTGCCAGCTAGCCTAGCTCATCAATGAGTTCCAGGTTTAATGACAGACCCTGGCTCAAATAATAATAATAGTAATAATAATAATAATAAATAAGAGAATGATACAGGAAGAAACACAACCTTTGACTTCCACACACACCTATACATCATATAAACACACATTCTTGTACACATACACACACTTGTATACACACCTACACATTTGCACATACACACACACCAACAATAGCACTTTTAGCAAAGTAATCTGATGGAATCCTATATATAGTTTTAATGCCACATCGATTCAATTTTGGTTAATGTTATTTATATGTCTCTAATCTAACTGTGTACCTAAAGTACATGCATTATGGATAGTTATTCTGATTTTTCTATGCTTCTATATGCCAAACATACCATAAAAAGTGTTTAAGAAATGAGCATGTCACTGAAGGAATTTTCAGTAAGTGGCCATACCCAAGTAACTTGCACTTACATCCACAAATCTCAACACCCTCCCTCACCCAACTACTTTGCAAGCATGCCATCTCAACTCAAAATGGTTTACAATCCTTTGAACTCAGTTAGTGAATTTTCTGTGTCTAAAGTCTAATCATCAATTTTATATTACTAAGGAACCTGAAGGGAAAATAATGAAGAAAATGAATACACTATTGTGATCCAATTACTCAATATTTACAATGTTATTTCATGTTGAACATAAAATTAGGTTCTAGAATGACATACTGGGGAAAAGGGCATGCTCTTCTGTCTTAGTTAGTGTTCTATTGCTGAAGAGACACCATGACCAAGGCAACTCTTATAAGAGAAAATATTTAATTGGGGTTTGTTTACAATTTCAGAGGTTTGGTTCATTATCATCATGGTAAGGAGCATGATAGTACACAGGCAGACATGATGTTGCAGAATTACCTGAGAGTTCGACATCTGAATCTGGAAGCATCAAGAACAGAGGTACACTGGGTCTGGCTTGGCCTTTTGAAACCTCAAAGCCCATCCCTAGTGACACACTTCCTCCGACAAGGCCACAGCTTCTCCAACAAGACCACACCTCCTAATCATTCTCAAGTAGTGCCACTCTCTGATGACTAAGCATTCAAATTTTGAGCCTAGGGGGAGCATTCTTATTCAAACAACCACACCTTCTAGTGACATCTTTATAAGATTGACCCACTTAGTCTGCTCTGCAATTTATGCAACTAGTTAGAAAAGCAAGATTGATTGCAATTACTTGAAAGAGGATAAATACAGATAAGATCAGAAGATTAACTTAAAACATATACTTGTTATCATAGATAATGCCACTAATATTATGACCCTAACTTCTAAATGCCTTCAAACCTTCAACTTCACCAGCAACTCCACTGACATGACATATACTTCTTTAGGCTCTCTACTTTCCATGGAGAAATACCCAGGACACATGCAATGAACAAAGAAGACTAATCTATTCTTATTTTGAATCTTACATAATTTTACCAAATTAAGAGCTTTATACCATCAGTCTTTTAATCATATGCATATATGTATATATGTTTAGGTTCATACATAAATGCATGTGTGTGTGTGTGTGTGTGTGTGTGTGTGTTTACAGTAAGATGGAAATAGTAAGGGTGGTGAGATGATTAGGTAGTTATTTCATATATAAATGCATATACATTAACGTATGTATTCTCAACTCTTGCCTTTCATTGATCACTAGTATGGCATTTAAGATATTTCTAATTTTAAAAATTTAAAACATTCATATTCCTCTGGTTACCATTTTACTCTTTTCCCTGCATGATCATTCTGGGCCCTTTTCTATACTTGTTTTTACACTGTCATCCACTTTCACTTCTCACACAATCATTCCGGTTTGGAGTCTGTCTTGTCACTACACAGTTTAGCATGTCTGTTAGTGGCAGTCACATTGCTAAAACTGAAGGGAATGTTTTAGTCTTTGTCTTACCATCTTTTACTAACTAAACATTGATACAGAATCTTATCTGTTGTCTAAAAATTATAGGACAAATCAACCATAGTTTGTCTCTGCCCCTAAAATACCATTTATTATTAAGCAAAAATCTTAATAATAGTTTTTAAACATCTTAATAAAATCTTATATTATTTTTAAATTATTAAAAATCTTAATAATAATGTTTTTAAACATTCCTCTTAAGTAAAGGAAGGTAGGTTACGGGAGATATATTTTTCTGAAACTGAATCTAAAGACCATGGCAGAGGAAAAAGTCATATGAGAGTATTTATATGTCATTGCAAGTGCTTATGTGGCAGCTCTAGGTTAGATCCTCATAACTATATAAATAAAATGTGGATACTCAAAGAATATTCTGAATATGGGAGAAGACTGTGACTTTTTCTTATCTTACCACATAAAGGACTATAAGGAAGCCAAGGTGGAAGCCGTGAGGACACATGAAAGACTACTTTTATAACAGACAAAAATCATTGTGAGTTCAGGTTAGGATGGAAACAGCGAAGGTCATGAGAGGATAGTTTTATTTTTAAGATAAAAAACTAAAGGATTATCTGGGTGATTAGATGCATGTGGGATAGGAA